ACATTATATATATATATATATATATATATATATATATTAGAATAGAATTATTTAAATTTACTTACACCTTATTGTTGAGAGCAGCTCAATATAAGTGTGATGAGTTCTGAAATTCGTTCTAACAGGAAACACTCGAAAAGAGTGACAATGTGATAAGAAAGAAAGAAAAAAACTTCTCACCTCTCATCAGGTTTTGAGATCCAGATCAGTATGTTAGTCATAGTTCACATTAATTAATACATGCTGTGTAGTTTAATCTACATCTCTAGCTAAACAAATTAATTTAAGTGGCCGGTTAGTCTCTGTCTCAGACAATGAAATCAACAGAAATTACTGCAACAGTGTTTGTGGTCTCAGATGTTTGTCCGGAGAGACGAGCAGACTAAACCATAGAGAGGAAGTAGACTAAAACACACAATGCACTATGAACACATATACACCACTGTCTTTAAAACACACTATTTGTGCTCCTATCAAGCAATTCATGCCGTACCACAACAAGAAGTTAAAACATTTTAGACATTCTTTGTCCTCCTTTACCTTCTTCCATTTATTTCGTCGTTTTCTGAGCGCGGGACAACTGAAGGACACCAGCTCATGCTTCATTGAGTGCATAAGAATCAGGATGATGGATGGATGGATAGATAGATGGAAGGAAGGGATGTGTATAAAGACAAAAGAGGAACTTGTTAGTACAAGGTCTAAAAGAGGCCCTTGGACGTTTAACCATTACATATCTTTCTTGTATGCAACAACAAAATGTGAACTTATTTTTTAGATAGTTGGCAGGGAAACTGAAATAAAAATAAACACTATATATACGCAATAAAAAAAAATAAAAGTCAAAAACAATAAAATTACTGAAACTTTACAATTAAAGTGAAAAAAATTACAAATTCAAAATATTAATAAAAACTATAATAGTATCTCACAGGTACTGTATTTACGGAATCTGTTAGTGATATTTTTTTTCCCACCGCAATTTTTTTTTCTCCAAATTTTTACATGGGCTGTTCAGAAAGGATTTGGTGGAGCCCTTGAGTGGAAAGAGTGAAAATGGATGGTGGTACCTTCTCCTATGACCCGCAGACTTGTGCTCCACTTCACCTCGAGCCGTACTGGAAAAAGTGATGGATGAATATGATGAGGAGAAGATGAATGAACAGAAACAATGAACCAAAATTAATTTGAAGAGCTGATGAGATGATTGACAGCCCTAAGAATGTTTACTAGGATGATGAATAAAACAAGGAAACAGTTTTTGTCTATACCAATAGCTGATAATTACTCATTACAAATATTTATTAAATAGAAAAATTTATTATAATTATTAACAGAATAATTAAATTTAAATTAATTGAATCATTTTATTAGTAATACTTTTTAAAATAATTATTGTTAATTTTAATAATTCTGGCCAACAGAATGAAATTATTCTGGTTTTGCAGTTTGGTTTAAAATGAATACATAATAAATATTAATCTAAAACACACACACACACACACACACACATATATATATATATATATACATATATACACACATATACATACATACACAGGTGCATCTCAAAAAATTAGGATATCATGGAAAAATTCTTAATTTTTTGTAATTTAATTCAAAGAAGCTAACCTTCTTATATTCTAGATTCATTGCACAAAAACTGAAATATTTCAAGAGTTTTTTTTTTTTTTTTAATTCTGATGTTTATGACTGATGGAAATATAAAAATTCAGTATCTCAAAAAAAATTTGAAATTCCATTTTGAATGGAGCTTGATTAGCTTGATTAATTTTGAGTATAAATACTGGGTGTGTGTGTATATATATATATATATATATATATATATATAAAACAAATGCACAAATAAATAAATGCCAATGAACAGAGTTTACATTTAAATAAACGCACACACACACAACCATGATGTAAACCAAGATGTTCCTCTTTTCTGTCTTAAGAGTATTAGAGGTCATCTGACTGTTTATTATAAGCAGGAATACAGTCCTGTGTGACCTAAATACAGCTCTTTCTCACAGAACAGCTGCCTGCTGACAAAGCCCTCAGAGGAAGGGCCCTCACACTACTGGGATTTCCCTTCATAAACACAGTCACATACAGACTGTAAATGATTCAGAGCTGTACACAAATCTGAAGTAATGCCAAGATGATGGGACAAAAACCAAAACTGAGCGATTGCAAGTATAAACTCAAATATAAAGCATATCTGATTGCATTATAAAGACAGATGCAATGAATGATTAAAGGGCAGGTGGGCGGTTTGTTGGTAATAATGCTTTGATCCTGTTATCAGATGATTTACAGGAAATGAAAATGCCGGGTGTCTGTCACATTTATAAGAAAAAAAAAAGTGACGAGACATGTAGGCCAAGTTTGGAAATCAATACTTGAAATTTGTCTTCTGCATTTAACCCATCTAAGTGCACAAAACACACATACACTGTGGGCATATACCTGTGCAGTGGAAAAACAAACTTTTACAAAATATATTTTTGTTTCTTTATATGTAGTGTTTCTCTTATTTATAACATATAATGTGATATTTAATTTCACATATTAAATAACATTAGCCTGCTATCTTAGCATATTGTTAAATAATTAGGCCGTTTCTCAATATGCGTTCTTCAGCGATCTTGCGTCCTTGTGTTCTCGTTCTACGTCATCCTTAACCGTCGAAGTTCAATTCCAATTCTCAAGAACGCAAGTACAGAGGACGCATGAATGTGCCCGGATGTGTTCTTGATATCGAGGATGCATCGAGTGCAGACTTGAGAGAATCGAGCTGTTAGAAATCCCAGAAGACACTGCGGGCGGCCGGTGTACGGAAGCCTGCAAGCTATAAACTCGAACTCGCAAATACTTGACGGCTCTTGAAAGTAAACATTTATCGTTTTGTTTTGCTTAATTTTAATAAAGTTATAAGACCCGGAGAAAGTCTGCAGTATTTTTATTGGCATATTAAAATGAATCGTAACATAGTCATAGTTAAAACATATAACGCTGTAAAATAAAACGATATACAATTATATGTAAATAATATCTATAATAGTATGCAATGTTTTAATAAGTCATGACATTTGTTTGTAATGTTATGTTATATTTATGGTTCATTGGCCGCTGCTTATGCTGTGACTATGCGGTCAGTTAAGCAAGAACGCAGCACATCACTGTGTCCTTGCGTCCTTTCGAGTTCGTTCTTCCAAAAAAGCTTGGCAAGACCGGTCTCCACGAGAACGCAAATCCGTTCTTTGCGTTCTTGGAATTGAGAAAAAGCCTTAGTCTGGTAGCTTAGCATACCGCTAGTCAATTAGCATGCTATCTTAGCTCTTAAAGCTAGAGAAAAAAAAAAACTTTAAATGCTATATTTTAGTTATCTAAAAAAAGATACCGGGATATGTTTTTGAACACGGTAGCGTGCTATCTCAACATATAGCTATTCGATTAGCCTGGTAACTTAGATTATTTTGAAGGCTCAGGAAACCTTTGCAGGTGTTTTGCGTTGATTAGCTGATTGGCATGTCACCATATTCTAATTTGTTGAGAGGGTTTTTGTTAAATGTGAGCCAAAATCATCACAATTAAAAGAACCAAAGACTTAAACTACTTCAGTCTGTGTGCATTGAATTTATTTAATACACGAGTTTCACAATTTGAGTTGAATTACTGAAATAAATGAACTTTTCCACAACATTCTAATTTATTGAGATGCACCTGTAGCTCTAGTCAATTAATGTTTTTGAACAGTCATTCTGAAGGCGACCTTTCAGTGTTTAAAGGGGTACAGGATTTTCAAATTTTGCACCACACTGGACTCCCTGCTGAAAAGAACAGCTAAACTAGCCTCTGCAGGTTGGCTGGTCTTAGCAGGTTTAAACTGGTCACACTGGTCTCCCAACCTGGGAAAGCTGGTTTTCCAGCCTGATCAGCTAAAGAAGTGGTCCAAATCCCAAAAACCAAACCAGCTATGACCAGACATGAAGACCAGTTAAAACCAGCCAACCAGCTTAGGCTTGTTTTTGTATGCTTTGGATTCAATCCCTAAAACCTTCATTTTTAGAGGTAGAGATTACCTGCGTTGACTAATCTCACTCTCCCCCGCTGAATTTTTGCCTGGGCCCCAACTGTGCCTGCGGAAAGGGGACAGGGACCGTATGGAGGTGCGTAAAATGGCCGACCGCTCCGGGACCTCTGTCAAGCGGTCCTTTTTCTCTTCCTCCTCTGTTTCTCCTGATGCTCCAGGAGATGTGGGCTTTTCCTGACAGGGGTCTGATGTAGGAGCTTCTGTGCTGGCCTGAGAGATGGCACTAGGGGTCCCGAGGCTGGATGTGTCATCTGTGGAGGACGAGTAGGACATGGACACACCGCTGGTGATTGTGACGCTGTCCTCAGCCTTTGATGGAGAAAGAAGAGTAGAATTGGATGGAGTTTGCAAAAACAAAATCACAGTTGATGTTTGGTGACAACTAGGAGGACTGGGATTTTGGACCAACTTCCCAACCTGACATAGCGAAAATTCGCACGTTGCGCCTGGTTACTTAGGACAAGCACATTGTGAATTCTGCAAATGACTGCTGATGACGTACCACCTTTACATCTGTAGTTTACATACAAGCAGACTCATTTTTTTTCTTTCTGCAAACCCCATGAAGTCTCAAGAGTTCTTTCCATCCTTGTAAAACTTTCATAACATAGAAACACACAGCTCTGACACTCATTTCCATTCACAGCGACTCATTAGTTTCCTCGCATGCTGAGACCGCAGCCAAGCAGGGGTGTGAGCTAGCGGCTACATTACACTAACCGTAATAGATGACTTTATGAGTTTTGGAAGGACACTTCCAGAACACAAGTCAAGCTTAGGTGAAGTGACTCTACCTGCTTTCGAGAAACTGTAAGCAAGCTACGTGAATTCCCACGTACAATTTCAGGAGAAATAGTAGGCTAATTTTGGGGTCTTATTAATGTTAGCATACTATATATTTTTATTTACCGAGAGAGAAAAAAAAAATCAGTGATGACATTTTGTTTAAAGAGGCATTTAAATTCAAAATTCATTGTATACTCGCTAATTTTGGGGTCTTATTAATGTTAGCATACTATATATTTTTATTTACCGAGAGAGAAAAAAAAAAATCAGTGATGACATTTTGTTTAAAGAGGCATTTAAATTCAAAATTCATTGTATACTAAATTTCTGTTCAACCTAATTGGTCAACTATTTAGCTTTGTATGTCGCTAGCTGATTAGCCTACTCTTTTAGCATACTGCTAGCTGATTAGCCTGATAGCTTAATTTAAAGGGATAGTTCACCCAAAAATGAAAATTCTGTCATTAATTACTCACCCTCATGTCGTTTCAAACCCGTAAGACCTTCGTTCATCTTCGGAACACAAATTAAGATATTTTTGATGGAATCTGAGAGCTATCTGACCCTGCATAGACAGCAATACAACTGAAATGTTCCCAAGTCCAGAGACGTAGCAAGGAGATCTGTAAAATAATCCATGTGACATCAGGGGTTCAACCGTAATTTTACGAAGCTACGAGAATACTTTTTGTGCGCAAAAGAAAAAAAAATAACGACTTTATTCAACAATTCGTCTCTTCCGCATTACCCTGGTGCCATTTTGGAGAGTATCGGCTGGACGTAAACAACGTTGTTCTGTGTCAGCTGCGTCACGCCGGATCTGTTTCTTACGTTGTTGTGATTTGATCTGAACGAAAACAGCGTATCCGTGTCACGCAGCTGACACAGAACAGCAGAATTTTCATTTTTAGGTAAACTATTCCTGTATGTGCATCATCCGGGTTTTTAAAGTGAACTTTTTTGGAATTTTCAGTGTGATAGTACTCGTACTATTAATACTACAAAACATCAAGGAATAAGTGCACAAGTACGCAATTTGGGATGCACCTATAGTAATAGCTAATTAGCCTGCTAGCTTAGCTACTATAGAGTTCAACAACCATGTTCCAAACGTAAAAAAAAAATGTATTCCCTTTCTCCAAAGGGTAATTTATTTTTTATGACAACTGTGAACTATGAGTTTGTGATTCACCTCATAACTGTTCGGTTTGGTTCATGGCCAATTACTCTGTAACAAAGACTTTCTTATAAAATCCTTATGAAGAAAAACACTTTCAGAACCAAATTCACTGAAAAAGTGGGTGGTCATTGTTGTACTCAACTTTTTGAGCCTCAACTATGAGCAGAAAAACACTTCCAACACATAAACTTAGGTTAGCAAGCATTCCACATGAAATTTCATTTGGGTTAAGGGTATTCCGCATTTCAAAATAGGATTCTAATGAAATATGGAGGGATATACATACCTATCATCAAGAAAACAAAAACATTACAGCTCACAAAAAACTCTGTCATTCTTTGCGACATGCTAAGAACAAGTGTCAAAGTGTTAAACATCTTTAAATTAAAGCAAGGAGTTTAAGGGGTGGAGGATTCCTCGGGGAAACTCTTAGAGGAGTTGAGAAATTAGGATGAAGCATGTCTGAGGATGAGGTCATAATTATGGCCTTGGCCCACAGATCTGCTCACGTCACATGACGTCAGTGGTGCAAGATGTTGTGTGTAGAGGAGCACCGCTGAAAATGAGACATATTACATAACCGCTTTATCTGGCCGAGGCACAAGCGAGGGGTTCCTCACATGGTAAAGAGACATAGAAACAAAACAAATAGCAACTCTGCTTCGAAAACAAACACATAATTGGGTGATATGGGAAACGCAAGACAATCCGCACCCACCTTATTATTAAAAACACTGTCCTCGCCCAAGTCCTGACTAAACAGAGAGTCGCCATCGCTGGCGGACCCTCGCATGGTGCTCGCCGAGTCTTTGTGACGTACGCTCTCGGGTGAGGGTGTCGAAGGGGGGAATTCTGAGAAAAAAAAAGAATAAAAAAAACATGAGAGAGCTTAAGAGCAAGAGAAGAATAATAAATAGAAAAGAAAACAGACCAGACTTGACTCTCATGAACTGAATCATTATACAGTGAGTCTGAAAGTGACTCATTTCAATCCATTGTGTTGCAACTCGGCTCGCAATCGTCGCAGACAGGATGTTGATGTCATCTACTTAAATAGATGATCTTATTTGACTAGTGGAGTCTTTTGTATTGACAGGAAGACATTAATTTAGTCTTTGGAGGATGTGTATGCCGTTTCCCATGCGACACAATGTGGGCACTATTTAGATTGGACACACACAGAAACAGTCTGAGCAAAGAGGGCATCCTTTCTTTGTAGAGTGCTGGAAGATGTATAAAAGAGGTTTGTGTTTTGTTCTGGATGTTACTTTTAACCAACAACTAGACCGACGTGATGCAACGTTGTGTTGTTGACGTCAAATGCCGTACATCAAATTCTGTGGTATTTCAGTGTAAATTCATGCATCACTTCAGACAAATTACATCGATGCCCACATGGACATCCTCAAAAACCACTAACATTTGGGTTGCCACTTGATATTCCAATGCAAAATGAGGGTTTTGAAGCAAAACCAGTTTAGAAGCACTGATTTGGCTACCTGAAATCACTGAAGTGGATTTCTTCTCCTCAAGTCCAGCATCTCGACTGGCATCAACTGGATAAAACGTCTCTGTCTCTCTGTGGATCTGCAATGACAAAATCAATTGAGTTTGGAGTGTTATTTAATATACAAAATAATTTTATACACATAGCAGAAAATTTTATATTTGATTTTGTATGTTCTGATCTTAAAATATGTATACTCATAATATAAAATCCCGTTACATGTTTAAAACCATTATAATCTAAACACAGAGTGAAATAATTTGAATATTTATTGTGCACAGATGATTTATATCATATCAAGTCATTTAGTTGTGTCGTCACTTCCACCACAAACAACAATTCTGTCCCAAACGTTTCTGAAAAGAGCATGTTTAAGATAAAATACCGCGTGAGAAGAAAACAAAGAAATGTCAAGGTACAGATCATATGTATATATTTTTTTATTGTGCATCACTGCAAATACAGCTGTTTTAATAGCATGTTAGCTATGAATTTAGCATTACCAAGACAAGGATTCCACCATTTTATTACAAAACTGTTTAAAATGTAATTTTCCCAACTGTCATTCTATCACAAAATCAAATTAAATAATTAAACGGGGATATGGTGGAAATGACATTAGTCAGTTCAGTACAAAAGAACAAAAAATGAGAGAAATCATTTTAAAAAATGTCTCTAGATCCTATAGCTGAAAAACCATTTATATATTCTCAGGTTCTTTCATCTGCTAAAGATCCTGCTAGAATCCAGCAGGACATACTAATGCATCAGGTGAAAGATGGTTTCCTCTGCTACCTAAACGCAGGACAAGTATGTCAATGGTTTCGTCTTGGGCGGCTAAAGCATTTTCCTTCGACCACAAAATTCACTTTCTTGATGAAGAAAGGCGCTCATGAACAGAAATATTAGCAGTGGTAAGAGCATCTACCTCCTGAGAGTAACATGTGGTTGGAAACCCTCAAGGCTGTGATTTGGGGCAGGAATGGTTTCTGGGGGCATGTGTGGGGCGTTCAGAACAGACCTAGAGAGGAATGTGACCCATATATAAACATCACGGCCCACTAACATTCAACACAGAGCAGCTGTGAACAGGCCGTAGTGGGTTAGCTTGAGGCTACTGTGAGGACGAAGTGGTCTCTATACACTTTTCATTTATCAAACTTAAGGCCTATGCATGCTATATTAATTAAAAAAATATACTAAAATATAATTAATTTATATAAAATAAATAAAAATTGTATATATATATATATATATATATATATATTGGAAAAACAAATGTAAAAAAGTACTTTTTGAAAAGGTACATTTTAGTTTGTCTAATATTAAAGAAAAGCTACAACACGAGCTGTAAAGTAGCACAAGAAGATCAAAAGACCATGAAAATGAAGAACGTCCCTGTGGCGGAAACAGAAGCTTAGAAACCTTCCTGTGCAGCTCATCTGTATGACCATCATCAGCTCTATTCATGACTGATTACACCCACCCGCCGCCCATCGTGAGCATGTGACACACGCTCAACTCCCAAGCTTAGTGTGAACCCGCAGTGTGCACGCACGTGTGTCTGCTGGTCATAGGCCTCCTTTGTTTGGTCATTGGTGGATGGACACTGGTCTAGTGTGGCAAGCAAGAGGGGAGTGGGCTTTTTTCAATAGAGTCGTCAACAGCTGCGGCCTTTTAACTCAGAGAGAGAGAGGGATGGAGAGAATGAGAAATAAATACTGAAAAAAAGGAATAAAATGGGGGGAATAGCTGGTTGAATTGGTTTAATTAGGTTTGGTCGTGATTCTCTGACCTGTGGTCATAATGTCAGAGCTGCAGGTTCGAATCTAGCCTGCAACGTGCCCCAATTCAGTTTCCTTAATTTCTCGCTATTAATTTTCAGCCCAAAAACAAATCAAAAGCTAAAAAACAAACCAAGCAAAATAAATAAATGAAAATAATTAAATAAAAAATAAATAAATAAAAGCCCAAACAAAACAAACATTTTAAAATAAAACCTCAGACAAATAAATGGGAAAAAAAAAAAAGAAACAAATCAAACAAACAAAAAAAGAAACTAAATAAAAAACTAAATCAAATAAAAAACTAAATTACAAAACAAAAAGCCCCCCTCTCCCAATAAAAAACTAAACAGATAACAAAATTTAAACAATAAATACAACAAACCAAACAAACAAAGCTCAAACAAAAAAAGAACACAAAAACTAAATGGACAACTACATAAAAACAACAAATAAACAGAAGCTAAATAAAACAAAACAAAAACTGAAGAGACTAAGTGAAACTAAAGGAAAAACAATAAATAAATAGGTTGAAATTGTCAGGTGACTTTTTAATTTAATTAGTTTTGCCACTTTTATTTAAAAGTATAGGAAAAGATGAGGGAATGGATCAGTAAATGACACCAGCTGGATTCGAACTCTGGTCGCCTGCCACCACATAACATGCCAGGCCACATTTCTGATTGTTTCTGAATGAACACACACCATCATGGCATCAAGAATAGTAATTCAGGTCTGTAATGTTTCACTGCTGTTCATGACAACATGTCATTTCCAACCACAGTAAGTTCTGACAGGATCCAGACAGCACCGAGGGACTCACACCAGCTGGAACTCAGACGAGAAGGCATGTTATGTTTCCTGATCCCAGAACAGATATCAACCTCAATCTGACAAAGAAACTCAAACAAAACCATACAAACACACATAATGCACACTGTCCCCAATCCTTCAATCTGTTATGAATGATAAACTTGTCTTCGAGTGGGAAAGCAAATGAAAAGTCTCAAGTACAGAGCACTCAGTTTCAACCGATTAAACATTAATTATCAACGCTTATGGCTGTGTGTATCTGGATGTATACTACCAAGTGCTCAAAAATGTGTTTATGCACACAAATTTGCAGAGAACCAGAAATCTAGCTGGGATACTGCTCTGATATTTTATGTTAAGCTTCACAGCTTGGTAACAATGGTAATGGATGTAGCAGACACACAGAGAAACACTTTCAACCAGACACCGTTTCAACCAATTACTGAATGAGTCGTGAAAATCACTCCAAAAATGTGGCACATTGAGCCAGTGTGCAGTAATGGAAAGCTGTAATGCCTCACACTGACCGAATGCTCCACTGAGAGCACTTACATGTAAACATGTCATAGAGAGGAAACGGTCAGCCAGAGTCCTGTTCTTTGATCATGACTGGTTTGATTAATTTTATGGATACATGCTTTAAGGACAACTTACAAAGAACTAAACCAAGCATAAATAAAGGTTTGTCAGGTCAGCTATGTTAACAGAGCAACATACCTGATTGATCAACTAATATGGATCTGTTTATAATGATTAATGCTCATCTCAAAAACAAGGTGGCCGATATAATTCCAGTGTATCTGTATTTCAGCCATTATTATTTATTCCATAAGCAAAAGTGTCCAATAATTGGGTTATTGAGAAAAAGGTAGGGCCCTATGAAAACACAGACGGAAACGTGGAATCCAGGCATAAAAACGGAATTTACTGTATAATGCAGAATGTCATGGATTGTGCCAAATTTTGGATGGATAAATCAAACGTAGGTCAGTACACTTAAATCAAAACGCAATATGGACTAGTGTCTGTGAAGACTAAGCCGCAAAAATACTAAATATGAATCACGCAGGTTCTGCATGTCTGTGTGTGAATGAATGGCGCAGACACGCAGTTTCGTTTGCTACACACATACTGAAGCTCGCAGTGTTTTCAGCCTCTGCCGCCTCAATATATGAACACATGAAGATAATAGAAAGTCACTTTATGAGCATTTTACCACAAAAAAAAAAACTATCGTCATATATACAAACAGAAGCTTAAAGGTCTTCACAGCAACCTGTCAAGATAAAAGTTCGGTTTAACTTGAACAAACAGTGACAGAAATATTACTTAATGTAATGATAGTACTACTATTAAAATTATTATTAAAACTTTATTTTTAAAAGAATATTTACCAGAAAAATTATTTACCAGACTTAGCAGGAAAATGTAAATACACAACACATTATTTTATTTTGTTTCTTTTTTTCACAGAAATATTTTATTTAAAAATTTAATAAAACCATTAAAATGGAATCCAGAAAACTAATGGAAAACAAAATTGGTAAAAATAAAACTGAATTTGAGAAAAAAAAATTGCTGTTAAATATTGTAAGTTTCATGATTTCAATTAATTAGACATGCTTTTTGATTAATAAAGTTTAATTTAATTTAATCATTAAAACAGAGTCTAGAAAAATTAAAACGGGGGGGGGGGCAGAATCCAGGAAAATTAAAACAGAAAAAAAATTAATTTGGGAAGGGAAAAAAACAGATTTCATAGGGTCCTAGATTAGTAGTTGACTGGTCATGTGATCAATATGTCAGCCGCCATAAGGCTACTAACGTCACTGGATTTATCTACAGTATATTTGCTTTATGTTTGTGTTTTACATTCTGCTGGCCAAAAATCAGCCTGGACATATTTTTCATTTTATAACTATTACCGACAGACTAACTACAGTATTGTAGCAGATTTAAGTTATGTAGGTCTACCATTCAAAATATATATATATATTTAAAATAAATTAATATTCATATTAAATAAATTAATATTCAATATATAAAGAAGCATTAAATTGATCAAAAGTGACAGTAATTTATTGTTAAAAAAGATTTTTATTTCAAAGAAATGTTCTTTTGAACTTGTATTCATTAAAGAATCCTGATAAAAATAAATGTAAAAATAATTGCACCAAATCAGCATATCAGATTACATTTCAAATATATTCAAATAGAACAGCTGCTTTCAATTATAATAATCTTTCAAAAATATTACTGTTTTCACTGTATTTTTAATCAAATAATGCAGCTTTTGTGAGCATAAAAGACTCTTACCATAAAAGACTCAACTTTTTAAACAGTAGTTTGTTATTCTGAAACCGTCAACCCACATTCAGAAAACGAGGCCCAGTTCTTTTTTGACTGGCATGTGTGTGAAAACACACCAAAATATAGCACATAGCATATTATTATAGCACATATATTTATGTTTGGTGTGGCCT